CCCTATTTCCACGTTACATTGCATTTCAGATCGACTTCCTCGTGAGCTCACCTCGACTCTCAAAAGGGGTTGTTGGAAGTATTTTATTCGAATCCTGAGCAATTCTGCTTTCAGGAGTGGTAGCAATAGAAGCTGAAACTGTTTTTTAAAGGCATTTTTATAATGAAAAAAAATAGGAAAACAGAGATACTAGCACTTGCTGAAGAAATTAAAGATTGTTTTCTCTTTTTTTTTCTCCCAATCCTCCAAAGCTTACAGTTTACACTTTAATTTGTAAAAATTCATTGTTCATGTTATAACACAAAGGGGACATTTCCAAAAAACGGGTACTGTACCATGAGATTTACCTATTCTTAGCAAGTCTAAGAATCCAGACAAAAACATTCCTTAGGAGAGCAAACAGGTTCAACTGACATTTAAAAGATCTGCCTTTTCTATCAGCAATTGCCATAAAAATTTATTGTCTAAATGCAACAGTACCAAAAATAAATGCTCTCATACACACCTACTGAAATTATTAAGGAAAATTACATCAAGTTTGAAATTTAAAAAAAAAAAACATCCTTTTGAAATGGGACAATTAGACACCAGTTTTGAATCTGCATATATCACACAAAGTTCACAACTGATTTCTGGCCCTAACTTAGTGAATCTAAGCAAATTCTTTTAGACTAGTTAAAAGGAATGTGTCACAGCTGAGGTCAGAGATCTAAATACACAGATCCAGCTAATACAAGTTTTAAATATACATATGCTTCAAGGAGCAGAACAACTTAGTTCTGACACTTGCCAGCAAGACTAGAGCAAAACAACAACAACAACAACAAAATCCTTTTTAGTGTATTGTGATGACAGGACACTAAAGAAAAGCAATGATTTCACGGTATAGATTTCTCATATGTCAGAAACACCGAATGTGTCTTAACTGGGATTCAGCAGTGGGTTCACCGCTAGCTGGCGAGGCAGAGGACTCTAGCCGGCCCTTTGCTCAGTCGGGCATTCAGTCCGAGTTTCAGGGTGACTCCGAGTTTCAGGGTGACATGACCAGTTTCCTTTGTGTAGATGAAGTCAATGCTACTGCTGTAGACTTTGTGGTTCTTCTGTCCAGCTGAAGAAATCACTGATCCAGCATTCAATCCAAGCAGACTGGGAAGGCATTTATCTGATATTATTCACAAAAATTCAAGATGTTCCCAAATATTTTCTTAGGATGCAAGAATCTTTACTTCAGTTTCTCAGAAGATTTAGAATCCATACCTTATAAAGCAATATTAAAGCACACATGCCAAGTGTGGAGTCATCCCTCTGGAAAAATATGAGGCATGTACTTGTTACTTAGTAATGAGTAAATTAATATTTAAAGTTATGATTGCTGGCAGTGATGTGGAAATTTAAACCATTTTCAGGTTCATGTAAACGGTAATCCATTTTCATTTTTGTGTAAAGTGACTACATGAAGAAGTTGGAATGAAATTTTCCATCACTGTTCACCACTACTTGAATAGTAATGCAGAATTATTGTAACTACAAAATGGACTGTTGGGAGGGACTTCTTCAACTCTTCTCACCTCCCCACCCTGCAAATCCCAAGGTATTGTGTATTTGTAGGTGCCGCAAGCAGGAGACTAGACTAGATTCCCAAAATATGGTAGATGTTACGCTACCTCCAACGGGTGCACGGCACAACACCGAGTCAGAAGCTGCCCCTGTCCCTTGTAAAGCTTGTGGAACCCTGCACTAGACTGCACTAAAATGTCTGTTTTCCGATGGGAAATCTGTGTGCCCCCACACTTCTGCTAGCAGCCACACAGGCTGCACGCCCCTCTTTACACAACATTAATAGTGATACAGTCCCACAGCATGGCCAAATTATCCACAGCAGTTTTTGTTCTTAAGAGGAACTCTTGTGCGTTTTTTCCTCCAAGTCTAACTCCAATTACCATGGATTGTATTCTGTTGTTATTGATTGTGTTGCAGCACTTTCCTAAAGACTGCTAAGTTTTAGCATACCTGGGATGATCTGCTATTTTAAGGCCACAAAAGGAATGAGACGCAATGTACCAAGAAGTAATGTGACTACCAACAGCTTCCTAACAGCGGCAGGTCGTATATCAATACTGAGCTAGTACTGCATAACCCTTCCAGGACACCTATCTATCGTCTTGACCTCCTATTTTTCCAAAGAAGGATGCTTAATTTGTCTGAAACACATGAAAGAAGTATGCGGTCACAGAATGATCCGTATTGTTTGAATTTAAGGCAGCAAGTGTGTTACAGCTGCCAGTTCCCAGTATACTGTTTCCATGCAGAATAATTTGAACCAATGTTTAAAATAAAGGGGCAGGAAAAACAGGAGGCAGTGAACACAGAAAACACAGATAGGGAACAATTAGCTCTAGACTCTTAAGTGTGTTGCAGAATCTCTTACGTGAAAAGGGAGTCTTACTTTAGCCCGCGGTTTAGCAAAGCTCCCACGTGAGTAAGTCACCTACCTTTTAAGCATGTCCTTCCCCGCCAGTGAATTCAAAGGGGGCAGCAGTGCTAGTTCCAGAGATTTTCTAGCTTCAAGTTTTATTGGGCTAATTACCACAGCACCCCAATCTAAGTGTCAGATAGAGGAGAAAGAAAAAATACCCTCTGACACTAAATTACAGAAGTACATTGAGTAAACCACAAAACGTACAGCTTCACATATACGATTTTGGTCATTTTACTGCTGTTTGCTGCTCTTAATAAGTCAGGACCATAGACAGTCTAACAAAAGATACTGCCTAGAGCCTTGAGCAAGCCTTACGAATTCTTTAAAGAGATTCTGGATAACTCTTATGGGAAAGCTCAGTATACTGTCACTATCCCAGGACTAATAAGCTTGCTTAGCAGATTAACCCAACAGAGTATCTCCAGTTAATAACACAGCTTCGAAAGTCTCTCCACATAACGCTGATACACATTAAACATGATGTAAGAGGTATGAAGAAACACCTCTCCTTTCAACTTTTATCTAGGCGTTCAACTGCATCAGCCCAGCTGTTCCCAGAGGAATACAAGAAATACAGTTTCTTCCTATTGCTTGGCCACCTACCTTTCCTGAATCAGCCTTCCTGCCACTTCTTACTTTAATGGAAAGTGCCTGAAGATCTAGCCCAGTGACTAGAAGTAAAGACAAACGTTCCTAGCTTGGATAATACATTCAAAGTTGCCAATTTTTCAACTGTGTTTCAACAGTAATTTGGGGACTTACCGGTCACTTTTGGGGGATTCACAAAAAAGAACTCAGAAAAGTAGGTTAATATATGGTATAAACCAACCATTTCCAGGATCATAATCTACAATCTACTATCACTTTTTGTCTCCTTAAGAATAGCGCTTTTTTCTTCTTAATCCTTTTTTTTTTTTTTTAAAAGGTTTGCTCCTAACAATGGTCACTACACATCTTTTCTCATTACCTTTAATCCCTGACAATTCTAGCTCTCATCACTTCTTCTGTGGTTGCCTCAAGATGTAGCTCAATTATTGAAGAGAGAAACAGAGACAACAGAAAGACGCTTACTGTACTTTAGGCTTAGATATTAACATTTCTGTGTAGATCAAGCTCACATTTGCACAAGCATACTTCTGTTAAAAAAAAAAAAAGTTATTTTCTCAAACCCTGCTACACAGATACTAAATGGCTGCTCCACTGCAGAGGGAGTTAGTTATGTTTTAACAACTATCAATCAAGTAAAAAATATAAAATTATTCAGGCTACAGAAGTATGTTTGGAACTGTAGCAAGGAGAGTCCTAAAAACTAGGTTGAGTAAGCTCTTTATAAATACAACACAGAAGCAGAGAGTAATATAAGTCTGGTTGGTGGATGTGCAACATTTTCAATTAGGAGTTTAAACATGCCAATGGAAAATTCAGTGTTTGTTACCAAGAAAAGATGACTGTAAATAATTTGTTGCTTCAGCTGTTAGGCCTTTGTTTTTTTCTAGTTCTGCCATTTCAATTCATTTATCCCTTCCCACATAGGGCTATTTTTATATATAGCCAAGATTACCAGATGTCACTTTGTCATCTGCCACCAATACACTATCACCCTTTTCTGATGAGGTTTTTGTTACTTTTAGGTCACATTGAAGGTTTCTGGCACTAGTAAAGCCAGGAGGTATGGGAAGAGGTATGAAAAAACAGTCTGCTCTAAGACTCCATACATGTAACCAGTTACTCTGTCATGCTTTTAGCTTAGTGATAAACTAAGTTAAATAAACTAAGGTAAACAAAGCTGTATAAGCTGAACTCAAATAAAACACAGCTGAAAGGCAAAAGCAAAATATAATTATCGAAAAGGATGTCATTACCCTGCTACGGGACAAGACTTTGCAATGTGTTTTTAGCAATAGGAAATATGTATCATCAGGAAGACTGAGAGGGTTTGTGGAAGAGGGGAAAGGTCCTCTGACTTCTTTCTTCTTTTTGCGTCTCTCCATGTGATTCCAACGCTCTAAGTCCCAAAGAACAATGTTTATCAAAAAAGACATATCCAGATGCCAAAACAGTCATTAAACGAAATATACACAAGTCTGTAGGTGGGAAGAGGAATTAGGAAAACATATCAGGGGCTGCAGAAGGGTGCGTGAACAAAAACCTCTACAAGATGCCTTCTTCAAATATCTATGCAATTGCCAAAGTGTAAACAACAATGCAGTGGACCACTGGCTCAACATATAAAAATAATTCATTAAGACAGCGATGCTTGAAGGGACAGGTTTATTACATCTCCCACACCTTTTAGTTTCTGAGCCTGTGACCAAAGCAGTAAGGAAAAACTTAATCCCAAAAACTTCTACAGCAAATTTAGTTTCAGGTTCTGAAATGAAAACCACCATTTATTTGTGCTGTTAATTAAAACACTATTTGGTTCTTCTCCCTTCTGACACCTCAGGTGATTTGCTAAGCTTGCAATGGCACTTCCCATACACTTTCCATAACACTTTAAAAAACTACACTAAACACAACATAATCCTAAATAATAATCAATTTTAATTACATGGTATTGAATACCTTGCAAACAAAAGACACTCGTTCAGATTTACTGACAGGTACTATATTTTTTTGGCAAACTTGGAACAAACCGGAAGAAAAAGCAAAGAATTATTCTATAACCATGAGGGAAAGAAATGTCCATCTAAATGCAGAGGATTCATATGGCAAAACTGAAACTAAAGAAAAATCCACACTTACAGCAGATTTTTTTTTAATTCTTAGTGCAAGAAACATAACCAAGTTAATCACAGAATCAGTACTAATTAAGAATATGGAAAATTCTCCTATACAGAGGTAGAGTCCAGTGCACAAGGCTAAAATGATATTCAATAGTCTAAACAAGACTGAGCCAGGTTTTACGGAATCCACTTTTTAAAGTATCAGACTGTATGTACATACATACAATAAATAGACTATACAATCTTTAAAGTAGTTTAATAAACTTCACAAAAATTATAGCAGATGCATTGAGATCTTTACATAATCCAAAGTTCATATCTCTATCACCCAGAAATGGATAAAACCAATATTCCAGATATCAAGTTAAACAGAAAATAGTTTAGCAAAGTGTTGATAAATCAAAATATTTTACATATTTTTAAAGCCTAAATTTATGCTTACAAAGGATAAATTTCAAATGCTTTGAAAATGTTCCTTTTGATACTATCTGCAAGGAGGTTTCAAATGCTCCGAATTGCATTTTTACTGTTATAAAGACTTTCCTTACATTCCACGTTCAAGGGAAAAATGGACTGGGGTACTCACAGTTCTAATGTGTTGGCACAAGAATAAATGATGAGCATTAGATTATTTTAAAGGCCCAAAAGACATCAGGAGAATTTACGGACAAAGCCTTCATGTCTCAAACTGCACAAATCACATTAGAAAGTTAGCAGAAAATTGTTTGGTATTACCACTTCAATCCTGTCAGCGCCTCTCCATCTGGAGGCACCTGATTAGCGTTGCACTGGAGTTAACGTGTGCATCTCTGGGCCCCTAGGTTTGCTACAAGCCCATAGGGCTTAATAAAACAAATATGGAATCTGTATGGTTTACCACAGTAGTGCATAAATCAGGGACGTCTGTTGCCATTCATTTCAGTGACAGTCACAAAGAAAGGATTTCAGGGAACTGAGAACTGTTTAACCGTATCTTTCTAAACTGTGCAAAAAAAAAAAAAAAGGAAAAAAAATAAGTCACCCTGGGGCATTACAGACTAATTATGCTTACTCTGACAAATTATTTCCTATAAAGGTTTCTTAGAAATCCCAAGGGGGCAACAGGCATAATAAGAGGGAACTAGTAACAACAGAAGAGCTTAATAATCAGAGTTGAAACCTATTTTCACAGTTTGGTTATTTTTAATTTCTATAAGCACCTACGCTGAAAATCTTGAGGGTTTGTATTTAGTTTTAAATGAATCTACTTGTGACAAATACCTTGTTAAGATTACCATGCTGCTCTTCTACAGGCCTTCTCACTGGAACAATTTTTTTATTATTTTTTATTTTATACAAACAGACTCACTTTGATTTAAAGTAAACATATAAAAATTGAGAATATTGCTTGCAACAATGGATCTGGAAGTGAAGGAATGAACTAGTCAGGCCAAACAAACAAAAACCAAAAAACAAAAACAAAAAAACAACCACACACTCCCTCAAAATGAATTCTAAACTTCTAATGCTATGAAAATCTGCAAAAGGATCACAAGATCTGTTGCAAATTTCAGAGATTTGGCCCAAGTCTTATCATCATCATCTAAATACTTTAACAACTGTATCTTTATATTAAGGAAAAATAAATGATTCCAAGAACTCAGGAAGGCACACGCACCCAAGTACACTATAAATAAAACACATCATGAAATTACAAACGATCTTCTGATCCCTGTACACACTTTTGGTTCAGCACTATGGTCAAGTTATCTCTTTTGAAATACAATAAAAGGCATAGAAGAAATGTAACAAATGCATAATAATTACAAAGAATAATGCTAATAAGAGCTTACAGAAAAAAGTGCAGTGGAAAAAAAAACCCAAAACTATTTACTCAGGGGCTTGTGCTACTGTAAATACAGGCTTAGTATTTGCTGCTGTGCAAGGGGAAGAATTTATCACGGAAAGCAACAATGAGGAATGCAAAAATAAAGTAAAAAAGATATTAAGAGAAAACTTTAAGATGGAATGCTCCCAACTTCATTCCTCTAGTGCACAGTCATCGGACTATGTGGTTTGTTTTCAGGCTGTCATTTCTCTTTAAGAGTACAGCGTATTAAAAAATGGCACAATTCTTAATCTTTTTCTGCCTCTACTTCATTTTTTGTTTCTTCTTCCAAGCACCTGAATTGCTGTTTCCTCACAAAATGGTAAAGCTGCTAGTGAAAGTGAGAAAAAATCGTTGCCCATCTTCTTTCCCAAACACTGATTTCTCCTTCCACAGGTATTTTACTTCTTGTGTGCTACACAATGGGGAGGCACTGTAAAGGCAGCTTGACAGATTTAAAAATAAAAATAATTAGGAAAAAAAAAAGTCTTCCCCTCCCCCCCCCACCCAGCCCACCCCCCAAAAAATGGATGGATGAAACAGTACGTCTGTAGGAATATTCCAGTCTCCTCTGTTAGGAGATAATAGCAGGGGACCATCTAACCACAGTCAGATTGTCAGCACTGACTGACCGTTTCTTTGCGGATTTCCTGAAGTCCTTATATTTATCTTCACACAAGCGGGAAATGGCCTGCAAGATGAAAGAACGAAGAAACCTCAATTGCATAAGCCACAGCTGTACAAGGAATATAAATAAAACTAAACATGGATTTCTAGATATAGGCAGAATTATAAAACGTCACTTCATTATGCAAAACTTGTGAAGAACTCCTCCCTCAATCCTTTTATTCGTTTCACTAACTATGAAAGAACAAACATGCTGACTTTGCATTGTTCATCCCAGTCACTTTTGAAGGATTTAATAAGCGCATTGCAAAAGCTTTTTTTTTTTTTTTTTTTAGGTTAGCTGCCACAAATCTAGCGAAGGGAGCCGACAATGCTTACTCATTGCTGTAAGTTAACCGAAATATAGCACTTCCTTGGTGAAAAATTAACTCGAATAGAATTATTACAGAAATTGTACATCTATTTGGAGAGTTTGGAAAGAGGATGGCTCTTAATGTCTGTCTGTCTTTCTTAACAAGCTGTGATATTGTAATTATGTATTTTCCTCCGCTGCTAAATGGTCTGTTAGGGTACCTGCTCTGTTTTGCTCACCGAGCTAGTTTTTACTTGCCTTTCTGAGGAACTTTAACTGCAGGAGACAGTGATTTCTATGCAATGGGGCTATCTTATGCGCTGCTGGTGGGAAACACAAGCTGTATTCAACAACACTTTAATTTGCAAGGCACTAAAATACACAGAAATTTTAAAGATCTTTTAAGCAGAGAGTCAGAAATTACTCTTTCCTGAAGAGATTGCAATGTCGAGACCTGCTGCACCCCACTGCAGCTATGCTTCCATCGTTTTCCACCAAGGTTAGAACAGCTGTCTGTTACGCACAGCATATGCGCACATTTATTGTGCCCTCCGACGGCATATCTCTGAACGTTCATTTAGTTGGGACAGGCCATGCTTTGCATCAGTAGGGATGCTAACTCACGTTTTCAAACACAGAACTGCAGAGAAAGCTCATTCTAAGCAATACTCAAGGGCAAAAAAGGGCAGATTTAGAAAAGATGAAGTAAAACAGCATTTTTATTTACTCAGGAATGTTTTTAAGTGGTGTCTTAGGATAGGACGTTTAGTAAGAGTAATATACAAACGTTAACAGTACAAGTGTTTGATTATAGAAAAAGGCAATATAAATAAACAGCCTGACTCCACTGATCTTCACTCTCTTGATTTTCACTTTTGCAGCACAGCAAGCTGTGGTGGCAGTCCTAGAACCGCAACTGTACTGCGAAGATCAGAGGCAGATATGCCAGAAGCACACAGCTCGGGCATCTGAGAGCAAGCTGGCCTCATGCATTGCTCAAACCAGCCACACGATAAAAAGGAAACCATTTGCTACTTTCTAGTTGCAAACTCAAGTTCATTGAATGTTCTTAAACACAGTTTTCTTTCTCGGTCCACGTGAACAGAACAACAGAATAAAACACCATAAATATTCCTGTTGCTTTGCAGACCTTAATCTAACTCACTGAAAACTGCTTCAGATTTATAATCCAATAGATGAGGATGGTTTAACCCTGGAACAAGGCCTGGCTCAGTAAGAAGGTGTCCTGAGGTGGAGCTCCGCTTCTTGCAGCTGCCAAATCAGTTCATAATCCTAGGAATCATATAGCCAGGAAAGATAATCACTTCAAGATCACCAGTTTCACAGGGAAATTTCTATTCCAGTACTTGGTCAGGCAAAATGGTATTTTGCTTGGAACTTGTACTAAATATTTGTAATCTCCAGTCTCTGGTGATTATTCATATATATATGTGAAACACACTAACTGTGATTTAATCAATCGCACCTAAAGAGGTTTTTTATTTGCAAGTAATTTACAAAATTGATATTTACAGCCTATATGACATTCCAGTAAGTCAACATTAGCTCCTTGCAACTTACGGGGAAATAAGAAAAAAGCAGAAAAATGTAAATATTTAGGACTGTCCTTCAATTAAAATAAATCCAAATAGCTTAAAACATCTTTCTGTCATCTGACATTTCTGTTCCTCTTACAGCTTGAAAAAGGAATCAGATTTTTCGACTGTTTCAAGGGATCATCTCTCATTTGAAATCACAACAAAGCATTATTGAAAACTGCACTGCCATTCAATTACGTGCAACTTTGTCCGACTTTATTTTAATATCTATAGTCAGCTAGGAATAAACATACATACCTATACTTTCATTCTAGATATATACAATTGGAAGTCAATGCTGAGCTGCACAAATGTGCTCCCCTTGAGCACTGCAACACCTCAAAAACAGGCATAACACAGAGCACTTAGAAGGGGAGGCAGAACTAAGGGTGGAAGGAAAATCCAAAAAAACCCCAAACCAGAACAAAAATAAAAAAAAAATCTAGATACGCTTGCTAGCCATCTAAAAGCAGTAGGAACACCCTTTGGCTGCTGGAAGTTGTGATGATGAGGGTTCTCCTTCATCTCTGGAGTGTGAAAAGAAGAATAATCAGGCTACTGACAAAAAGAGAAGTTGGATTCACTCTCCTTTCACTTCTTAGCTAGACTTCTGAACATTGAAAACGCAGAGGGTTGCAAGCCATTGCTGTGACAAGCTGGAGGGTTGTCAAGACACTTCTCTACTTGCAACTTCCACCTCTTTCCCCTTTTTTCTGTCTGCCCAGTCAGTCTACAAGACAGTAGCTCTTCGGGGTTAAGAAAACACTAACCTATGTACAGCACATCAGTTCAGAGAGCGGTCTCGAGGTTTTTCTCCTCAAGCACTATTCTAACAATAAAAAGTCGAGAGAGGACACAATTCGATAAATTGAGAGCACCCTAAAGATTAATGCTGGAATCGAGCACAGCGCCAAGATCAGCAGCAGAAACAGGGTGCGCTTGCTCTGTGGACTTACCCCAAAGTGCAGACAGACTCAAGATGTGAGGTTCCTAAAGATCTACTCTTTCTTGAACTTTGTAATGTTGAAGGTAACGATTTAGTTCAGGACATGGGAGTACAACCAGGTGCAAAAGGAGGAAATTACAAAACAGTGATTAAGTCTGGACACCAGAAAGCCTTCCTGGCAGAAGTATCTCTCCCATGTTAGAAAATAATTTCTCAAGTAAAGAAAACCTTGACGTTTGACAGAATTAAAACTAATTAGAAAACACACTATAAAATGTCCTGCTAGGAACAAACAGCACTGGCGAGTAGGTGTAGGCGTATGACCTAATGAAATGTTATATGGCACTCTTAAGTTGCATGACTGCATAAAACGGGGAAAAAAAGGGAGGAGGGCGTGTGTGAAAATGGTTCCTGGCTACTGGATGGATCAGCGTAGCAAATTCAGGATACTTTTAGGTCACAATGCTAATGGCAGGTAAGAAAATTTACTTTCATTTAATCATTCATAAGACAAAGCTGCTTCTTACTGTCAATTGTGCAAACATTAAATCCGGAGAAACGTTCTGCTGTGAAAACTCCAAAACTATTGACATTTTAAAAGAGCACTACGATGTCTTGTAACAACTCAAAGTTTATGGATATTGTTCAGCATTTGTATATGACAAGGGGAAGTATTTACTAACTCTGTCCTTGGACTTGTTTTTTTTTTTTGGCAATAAACTCAGGTAGTCAACCTCATGGTATCTGGAGAACGTAATACGGGTTCTGCCATGAAAGATCTAATGCTTCTGCTTCAGACACACAAGACAGTATGGAAGTGGAAAGGTAGCAAAAATGTATTATAATTCAACCATTTCTCCACACAAGACACAGAAAAATGTAAAGAAGTCTAAAGAAGTTGCTTCGAATCTTAGAACTCGGTCAGTTTTGTTTCAATTTACCAGACAAGGCAAATTGTTCCCCTGCATACATACATTAACTATTAGCCTGTTGTCTGTAATCACAGACTGCAGTTTTTCTGCTGGTGTCAAAAACAGCACAGCCTGTGTGGTACTTCATACACCTCGCTTGAGAATCTAGGCAGCGGACTTAAAAAGGGAGAACTCCGGGCTGAAGAGCATGTGATAGACCTAGAGAAGTATTGCAAAGACACTTTGACAAGTGCTGGCAGGCTAAATGCTCAACTATGCTGAAGGAATGAGGCTATAAATTATGCTGCTTGCTAGTTTCAAGGGCACACTCAGGCAACCAAGCATTGCCAGGGAGCACGGAAGCTCCCGTCACGTTCCCTTCCTTCTGGCCACGGAGCAGAGGCAAAGAGCTGGTAGACCAGACAGTTTCCACCGGAGTGAGTTTTCCCTGAAGACATCCTCTTCGGCCAGTGAGTTTCTTGTAGAGTCACTTGGTGCCAGCAGCACAAACCAACCCAAACCAGAGAATTAAAAAAAAAATTTTTTTTTTTGTTAAACAAAAAGTTCCATTATTTCTTTTTAAATATGCATTCTCTTTAGTTACTACAGAAAAACCAGCAGTATTCTCCAGGTACGTACAGTCATTTCTTATTTTGTTTTCCTCTTTTTAGGTTTTAGGAGCTCTCTCTCTTATCTTCATTTGTAACCTGGTGCTACAGCCTCTGTGCAATACAAACTGACAGTGCTGGGAAAAACCTATGTATTAAATTCTCTTCACAAAGTAATTCACTCAATTTTAATATTTGTAATAGCTCTTATTATCAAGATCCACCATCTACTAACTTTGCCAGCTGCCTTATTTCATTTAAGATTACAATCTCAATGAATTTTCATATTTTTTATTCTAAATCTTTAATGGAAACAAATTCGATATAAATGAACATTGCTCTTCATACACAGAACTAAGTTACATTCTTATTAAACCTATTTGGGAAATTTAGAAAGAATATTTTAAGTGAAATGAGAAATAAGTTTTGATTCTTTTTCCACCACTTTCCAAACATCTCCGCTCCCATAAGAGTTACCAAACACTCAATTAATTGCCCTGTGCATCATTTCCTCGCGTGAAAACTTGCACAGTACTGCCTGCCTGTTTCGCAGGAGCACCAAGAGCTTCAGAACATGCAAAGCCCACTCTCATCCACACACAAACAGCCTACAGCACAAAGCCGTTACGTAATTAAGGACATGCAGTGTTAGAACCGCCAGCAACTAACGGCAAATTTCAAAATTAGGAAAAAAGTGTCTACATGTTCATGCAATAATGCTTAGATTTTAAAATCTTTGCATCAGAAATTTCAGGAAAAAAAGAGTTCAGTCTCGCAAAGCACTCACAATTGCCTGATGACTTTAGATTCCTCTAATATCAGAGGGAACTCATAGTGCCCTGCACTTCACAAGTCCAGACCATCTGACATACAGCTTTATGCGCACTGTATATTCAAGTCCCGTAAGTATTTATAATTTATTTAATAATGATGTGTGCTCGTTTCGGCTTCCCCATTACTGAGAGTAAAACCACTGGAGGTAACAGACTTAGATCCATGTGACCTTGAGCAGTAACAGATAATAAGCACAGGTTGCCCAGAGAGGTAGTGGAGTCTCCTTCGCTGGAGATATTCAAAACCCGCCTGGATGTGATCCTGGGCAATCTGCTCTAGAGGACCCTGCTTGAGCAGGAGGGTAGGACTAGATGATCTCCAGAGGTCCCTTCCAACCTCAACCATTCTGTGATTCTGTGAATAGTTATTTGCAGCAATACTAATTAATATTCTGTCCTTTAAAACAGATAATTGGTGTTAAAAAAACCAAACGAACACACAAAACCAGCCTGCATAACAGTCATTCTTATGTACTGTGAGTGGTTTCACAAGGCCAATTTAGACAGCTAGAACTGGACAAGAACTGAAAAGCAAAATGACATAGGAAACACATTCAGCCAAAGAGCTGTCCCCACACTCATGAATACCGTGAGCACAAGCAAAACAATTGTGGAAATTAGGGCACATGATATTCCAGCTTCCCACGATAATATTTCGGGAGAGATGGGGAAGAGAAGGGAGAAACAACCCCAAACTTCCAAATCCCCAACTATATTCAGCTCTGAGCAATCCAAAGGGAAAGCATCTTACCTCAAGTTTATATGCTCTGTCCCTGCTGAGGGGCTCCAGAGGAAAACTCAGGTTATTTGCTTCTGCCAGGGAACGCAAATCAAAATAATACTTGGCATAAACACTGGAGGGAACGTTAATATTGAACTGCAACAGCTCAAGAAACTGGCGTTCCAGCTCGTTCCTGTAGAAAAAGATAAGTGTGAAAGCATATTCCAGGCCATCTATCCTGCCATTGTCTGAACGTAATTTATCTTAAATCGCAAATGGTACAAACCAAGTTCATATCTTATTCTTGAGAAACAGAATTCAACTAGCCTGAAGTCTGACCTGTTTTACCAAATACGTCTCGCTTGCTCATGTCAGTGAGGACTAGGAAAGATGCTGCACCTCACAGCTGATCCTGCAATGCCAACGAAACCCAGGCTCAGAGGTTTGCTAGCAGGACAGCACTTGGACCACCTGAGCTAATACAATCCGGGGAAGAGGGAAAGCTGGCAGGAAAAAAAATTTCTAGCAGTTTATGCTGCTTCCCCACTAGAGGGATCTGCACTCACACCTATGCACGCAGAAAACACACACACGCGCCCCGGCTTTGTCATACATCCCTCAAAAATGCTGTAAATTACCCTAACGTATAAATTACTAGAGAAACTTTTTGTTCTTTTCAGCCTTTATAATCAATCACTTAAAACATTTCATGGGAAACCTAAATTTTTCCACATGCCTTCTACCTTTCTTTATCAACAGAAGGCAGCAGTTTCTCCCCTAGCACATGCATGCAAAATTCACACTGGCGATCATTTGGTTTTTGTTTTTCTTTTTCCAGTACCTAAAACAGATGTGTTTAATCAAAATAGCAGATAGGGACAAAGAGGCCATATCTGAGCTCCCACTCAGTCAAAACTTCAGTATATCAATACATTACTACCTATCCCAGTAAATTAAAAAGTATGTAAATAAGAAAGTAAATAAACAAAACTGAAGATTGGCAGCTTTCATTAATTGCATGGTACATAGATGTCCTACACAACATTTATGCTGGGACATACGATATATTCAAAAGAGTGACTTTGAGATTTGAGGAATAAAAAATAAACTGGTGGTAAACGTTGCCAAAAAATAAACTGGTGGTAAACGTTGCCTACGTTTGCTGAAAAGTTAGTTATATATTGCACATGCACTGCACTACTTTCGTACGAGCAGGTATACGCTCCCCATGATACTGCGTTCAAGTTGCACGTTTAACCGTAGCGTATGTGCGGAAGGAACATGCAGTCAGGTGGCAACAGAAAGGAAGCACGTGAAGATAAGAAAAAATAACAATGGTAGTGACTGTGATCAGTGGCACAGAGTCTAGTCGGAGGCCTGTATCTAGCGGTGTCGCCCACAGGAAAAGGGTCAAGGGAGAAGCAGCTTAACAAAATGATTCACGAAACGCTAGAAACAGTCCAGAAAGCGTTACCAAGTTGGTCTGTGTGGAACGTACAGAAATATGAAGGGCCTTATATTAGCTTCTCTCCTCCTTCTCCCCCCATTTTATTTTAGAAATCTCATTCTGTCTTATTATGCTCAAAGTATCATCAAACATCCTCAAAGATTCAAGTAGCCTTTATATTTTAAAGCGCATATTGAAATGACATTGTGGTGCTTCCCGTCTCTATTTTGAAACGAGTCTTCCCCCAAACTAACGAAAGTACTCTACATCATACCACAGGAATGAGGTTTTCATGCTTTTTCCTTTAGCTCAGGACACAAAGACCTCCTTATAAATGGCCTGTTAATACAGATTTATAGATAACTTCTCCAATACTCAAGCAATGACAGCTACTCACAATTTGTAAAACTAACCTTACCTAGGAGGATATGAGCATGCTTAATTTAAAGCACTCAGCTGACTCTTAACATAAAACCTTTCTCTTACCGACCATTTTTAGATCAGCTGTAAGCCTGACAAACAGGGAACTAGTAAGAAACTAAATCAGGGCTGCTTCAGCATAAATGCTTGGCCTTTCCCTGCTTCGAGGTTGCAATTTGAGATTTAAAAGGCATGCTGTCTGTATAGACAGTTGTTCTCATCTTATTCCCCACCTGTCCTCTTCCCTACTTCCAGAGCATATGTTCACAACAAATTCTCCTCAGTGGCTAGGACCTTGCCTGACAACGATTCAGAGCAGAGATGAGTCCATGTATTTCCCACCACAGGTGTGTATCTCCGCTTAGAAAAGCTCTGAAACACATTCATACTGTACTGAAACATCTTTTTAATCATTTCATTGTCATTGGTTCTTATAAGAAAGGGGGTGAACCAGCAGATTCACAACACGACCACACGCTTGAAGACCAGCACTGACGCAGCACACTCTGTGTAACTTAGAAGTAAGTTGAAGTTACGAGGCAACTCGAAGCGCAGAAGCCTCAGCGGCCTGCAGTGCCACTCGGCCCCATCCTAGCACCATGATCCCAGCTTTTAACACCGCTCTCATGCACACCTGAACTCGCCCAGGTGCACCTCTCAGTGTGCAAATGGCACATAACCCAGCCTGAACACACGGGTGAGATAAAACCTAGGCACTTCAGTGGATACATTTAACACCTACTGAAGAAAGAGGAAAAAAAAAAGCACTCAATTGTTTAGCGAAATGAGCATTCATTTTAGTATTTGTAAACATTACGCTCTTAATTGTGTTTACTCTTATCACATTTCTATCCTATTATTAATGTTTGCGTATGCTCTTAAAATGACTAAGGTGTACCCTGGCAGATATCACAACTCTGTATATGCTGGTACAATATAATTTCTTAAGCATGTGCTGATGTAAAAAATGAAAAAGCGCTATCAGAATGGAAGTTTCTCTTTGCAAGTTAAAATATTAGGTTTTTTAACATCTTGCAAACAAACTCGGCAGGATGCGGAAAAAGCCCCCAAAGTATTATTTTCAGTAACAGCAGTGACCAAGTGGGTGATGGCTTAAGGGTCGTTAGGATCACAACAAACCTTTGTCCTGCCTTGCACATTGCTCTACTGTCTGTGCGGAGAACTAACACAAGACAGCAAACACTACTGAAACGAACACACGCTGCTTATTCGACTTGGGCTTTGTTTGTCAAGTCAAACGTTTAAAGCATTCGGCAGATGCATCTTCATCACTCTGTGTGAACTTCCTGCAGTAACATACGTTTTAACCAGAAACAAACACATTCATATTTTCTACGCAAGCAACTCTCAAACGGACCTAACGCAATCTACCAGCATCCACCTTGTCTAGATATAATGCAGATGTACAGTCTTGACATGATTCCTGAGGGAACTTCCCTTCCCCGCCACGCACACAAACCTTGGCGTTCATTGACGAAAATAAACGCACTGAACTCACATGTCTTCGACCGTGATATCCTTCAGGATCTGGCAGTAATCCACATTCCACACTGCTTGGTCGTCCCAGACTTTGGATGCCAGTAGAATTGCACCCAGTACAATTCGTTTCCAGTTTGCTGGACAAATATCTATCTCTGCATACGTTAATAGTCTTTCAAGATATACCTGTGGAAACACATTAAAATCAAGACTTAATCTATTTTGTTATTAAACACAAATGAAAAGGAAAAATATTCTAATAAGCTTAATCTAGCAATTTTAAAATGGTAATCTGCTCTCAGAAGATCTTTTTATAAAAGCTGTGGGTGTAAACGTACACGTTTATGCCAAGCTCAAGATTGGATGTGATATATTCGCATTTTAGTTGGTCGGTGCTTTCTGACCATATTCCCAAAAACAAAACTCTAGTTTTCTCGTCTGTAACTGTTGCTAATATATTCACACATTAGAAAGAATTCAAATGATAGCTTAAATAAATTATTAAAATAATAATGTAAATAAATAATCAGTATGTGAGCTACAGTATCTAAAACTGAATGCAGGATATATGCCACTACGGATTTGAGGGGAAGGGGAAAGTGGGAGTGTAAGGGAAGAGCACTAAAACCCTGACTGGCTCATTTGTGATTTTCTGTAAAGACGTGCACTCATCCAAGCGTACAAAGGACCTTAAGTAATTTCGACTTCCTGAAAGGTTTACCATTCTTACACCATGTTAGTTAATCAATAATAAACAATAATAATTAATGGTTTTTGAAGCCCATTATTTTTATGAGTCCATAAAAACATCAAGGTCAATTAAGTGCGTAACAGTTCTGGTCATTAATTTTCACAATTCTGATAGGTACATAATAAGGACTTGATAACAAGATCACTGGAAACAGCAACCAACTTTTGTAAGTTAAAAGTTTTACAGAAAAGTTTATATTTTATGAAAAAATGTTAAACATCTAAATACACGTACACAAGCATGTCTAGCAAACAAGTGAAATGTCTTTCACATACACTTTGCAGTATAAAAGGCATGGAACAAGAAAAACACAGGAAAAAAACACTATACATAATAAGATTAGGCAACTTTTGCTCAAAATGGCCATGACAAAGTATTTGTTCTTTGCTTTCTCATCTTCTCTAAGGAAAACAGAACTCAAGCTACAGTGTCCGTAACTTCACTAAAACAGTCACATCTTAGAATGATTTCCTATGTAAAATGCGTAAAAATGTTTGTCCTCCATTAGCCAACCGCCTCTCCCAAGCTACACCGAGTTCTTAATCCATGTGAGCCTGTTTCCAGTTGGTTTCACTGCACTCTCCTGATAATGATTTACAGAAAATGAGATGTAGCCATTTATTTCTCTGAAGTTAGTAATTTCTGCTCTGATTCAGAAACAAACTTGCAGCAGGGAAGCAAATGGAGCCCTTGTCCTGCAGGTCCGTTTCTTGCCCGTGGACCACTTAGTGTGCACAAAGGTGCACGCCGTGAAACTGGAAGTGCTTCAACATGACAAAATAAGACACTTTTACTAAAACCAACAGTTAGCCTTGACAGGCTTCTACTCTGGAAAAATACAGGTTTACATTTACTGGAGAATAATCTAATCTTTGTATCTCAGAACAGATCTTATAAGCAGCTCTTCACTGTATTGTGATAAAAAGCAAGTAAGCGGTTATTTAGATCGCCAGCACTCTTACAAGGTTCTGGATGGACTGACAGAACCTGGCAGGAGATTTTATGAGCTACTCTGATCAAAGTACAATACACATGCAAAATATGATACCTACCCGAAAGGACGCATTTTGTATAAAAACAGAACACTGCCTGGCATTCTGAAGGCCCAGCATTTTGTGTTAAATTTTTTATTAGGTAAAGATATTCATCTATGGATGCTCACGGACATTCACTTCTGCTCTAACAGAAGAAATATCTGGCTGCTAAGAAAGTTGAAAGCATTCCTTTATGATACATCACGTTTAAAATATTTTGAATTTTTTAAATTAACAATTTAAAAAATTTAAGAGACTATGAGTCTCTGACTGATTTATGCATAATTACAAAAAAACCCCACAGAACAGTTAGAAAATATTTATTTCAAGGTTTGGAGCTATGTAGAAATATGCAACTACAAAATAGTAGATGCAGAGAAATCTTACTGTGAACAGCAAGATCTCCTTCATCCTGCCAATGGTTTGAATGAATTTTTCAAATTATAGAATATTCAAAAGTCTGAACAGTTATATATAACACACTGGACATCACAGACTGCTCAAATTAAAAAAAGTCTCAAAGACCTTTGGCTTTCACCAAAGGGCTGTCTGTTTTTCTTACACTAATGAGATATGAATCTTGTATTAGACACTTTGTTTAACTAAAAATACACCACTAAGCACAAAAAAGACAGAAATAATGAATAAAAATCTCTGTGAAAAAAACGTTATACAGACTATAAAGTTGGAACATTTATAGTATGAGACCTCACAGATAAAACTGTTGTTTTTTCAGGTTTTTCTAGAGGATATAAAAAAAAAAAAAAGGTAACCAAAGTGACATGAACTGTTCAGAAATTTGTTTTCTTGTATAAGGAAGGCAAGACACTATTAAACTTGCGTTTCTTGCATCTGTAAAATTATGCCCATGCGCTCCATTATTCCCATAAAAAAAAAATTTGGCTGAATGAGCATGAATTTCAAGTTATGTCTAAAGCCCACCATTAAAACCTAAATTCTGACTTTTTAGTTAGGGCATCACTTTGAGAAGAAAAACACCTAGTTCGCAGGCAGATGCTCTCTACCTGCCAGGTAACATGCCAATGGCCTGGGATCCTGATGGACCCCTCGCAGTGCCACTGCACCAAGGGGAATGCAAGCACTGGCACTGTTCCTGCACAGTCGCACGAGATCACTGTATTACTACATCTTTCCTTTTTTTCAAGAGAAAAACATACACAGATACAGGATGGCTATGCTATTTACGTACAAAAGCAACTAGAGATTTACCAGTTGCACAGTAACATCACAGCTCAAAATGACAGAATTGACTTTATTGCTTTAAAATATGCTTCTTTATTGCACGTTTTAACATAAAAAATTTGGTTCTGAAGGTCTGCCTATGAAAGAATTCCAAGCGGTATATGAGCCCAAAATAAACAGCAAAGTTTAAATACTTTGAGATAACAAAATTAAGCCCGTAATAAGTGCCTACACCAACACAAGGGATCAAGACAGAAACTGAAAGAAAGGAGCAGGTGGGTGAGGTGGGAACAGCGGTGGATGCCCAAAGGAGTCATTTCTTCACCAAGGGGTCTGATAATATTTATAAAACCCACAGAAATGTAATGCTCAGGAAAAAGGTGGCACGTGCATCTAACCAGAGTCTGCACCACTCAAGGGTTCTCTTTAAAGGCCACGTTTTGTCTTCTGGGCAGTCAGCATAAACCCATTTCAGAGGTTTGTATAACAGTATAATACGAGTGTATTTATTCCACCTCACAAGCAAAATTGCTCCTTGAATTAGGAACTAATAACAGTCCCTGGCATTGTCCCAGGTAAACAGAAGGCTTTTTAAAGAAATACACCACGCTAATGCAGGCAGCTTTACATGGAGAAAGTTTATGGAAGCCATGATATCACGCCACTCTTAAGTTAGGATAACAGAAATGAAACTTCACCACCTTTACATTAGTGCTGGATTTGACCCTTTACTGGTAATGCCAGTCTCTTAAGCTTCAACTTGCCATGTGCAGCTTTAGCAGATTTTGAATGAACACCCTCTGATGCACACATCTATCGATACATACAGTCATATGACAGCACAGACAGAAATCAGAAAATAATACCATTTTCTATATACAAGCCTGGCTTGAAAACAGCAACAAAAAAAAAAAGATTCTGTTGTGGGCTCTAATTCAAAGGCATTCAGAGAAGAGCACGTAAACTGATCAGAACAGATAGGGATCATACTGCAAGGAAAGAGCTACATAAAAACTGTTCATATAACAGAGGAACTTAGGACTTGAGCTAAAACCACCTTAGGATACTCTAAAATGAAGAGGAAACAATTATTTAGGCTACAGACACAAATAAAGAGGAGCGTAAACTTGCTACTACCTTCCCATTGGTGTATGCTTGAGAAATCAGCTTTCAGAATGAGATAGGAACTTGAGAAGGCACTATTCTTATGCCACCTGTACTGTCATGATATCTGAGCATCTTCCAATAGCATGTTGAGGGTTACCACTAATCACTCTTGGGTGCTTGGTGATAGCTTGGGCCTAACTTCAGCATCACTGCTTGCTGGACTGATGCCGGGAACTTCTGACAGAACTGAAGATGATCAATTCCTCGTGAGGAGAAAAGCACTTAGTGTCATTTCACATTCCTTTCTTGAAAATGCCTTAAAAGAGAGCACTTTGTTTTGTTCACTTGCTTTGGCCTCCCTGACTTAGTTTTGGGTTTTAAGTGTATGCATTCAAGTAAGAGAAGTCAGAAAAAGAATAAGACTTGTCCTCGGAGCAAGGTTTCATAAACTTTGTTGCAGCCCCCAGATAAGTGCAAATTCACAGTAATCTAGGATTTGCCTCCTAAAGAGATACCTATGCTGGTCACATTAGTTTAGTTCTTCAACTTTCAATCAAGCCCGCTCATTTACACACGCAATCTACCTTCTAGCTCTCTCCAGCCCTAGTTTGGAGAAAACAAGGTGACTCTGCAGACAAGGAAATTTAGGCAGCAGAAAAGCCGGTACATACTTGAGCTCTGGCCCCACTGGATGGCATTAGCCCTTTGGCTGAGAATTTAAGCCTGAACTGGAGCACCTACTTAAGTAGAGCGTCTTCACAGAAGTAGTACACACATAGCCAAGTGAGCTGTCTCCTCTACACATGTAAGAAAGTTTATTGCGCCTGAAAATTGAGTTGTCGATCACTGTTTTCTTCCGGGTGCATTTCAACGTAACTATGCCCTGGCCACTGGAACAGGCTGAGGACCAAGACTTTGAGCTTGGTGGGACATCAGAGTAAAAAGGAAAGGCTGAGTCTGCCACGCTTGCAACAGCCTGCAAGAGAAGGAGGATGCTTCTAGCTGCTTCAAAAATGCGCTGATTCAGTATAAACTTCTGGAGAAGGGCTGGCCACCTGGCCCTGAGCCCGTTTGAAGAAGGCGGCTCGTGG